AAAGGTTCGCCATCACTGCCCTAGACCATTTCTGACAAAGGGCTGTCCAGTCTCTTCTTAAAAACTTCCAGGGTCGGAGTTGTTAAGTTTTTAATTGTGGGGTTCAGCAGGATTGGGATTGGAAGCAAGCTTTGCCAGTGGCACCCCCTCCAGACAGGCGCCCCATTGGCCCTGGGGTGGAGGGGAAGATTCACCCTTAATTCCTCTTCCGCGGAAAAGCTGGTGCGGTGTTTCGAAAGCAGGGCAAAGCCAGCATCTGCTACGACTTCCTTCCTTAGCACCTTATGCCCGCGGGCACCACCAGACCTCGTGGGTGCACTTCCTCTCGGCTTCTTGGAAATGACTTGGCGCTCGTTGCTGCCCCTTTCGTGCCCGTTGTGTCAGTGCGGCCCTGGCGGCTCCATCCAGGGTGGAGGGGACCCTGGTGTGTGTGTGTGTGTGTGTGTGTGTGTCTTTGGTTATTCGGGTTTTCTCCCACGTCAAATTGGAAGTGTCTTAGGCGACATTTCGACGAAGTCTCATTTGTCATCTTCAGGCTGGTGTTTTCGGCTTCGTGCCTCCATTGCTCCTGGAGGCACGAAGCCGAAAACACCAGCCTGAAGATGACGAATGAGACTTCGTCGAAACGTCGCCAAGACACTTAATTTGACGCGGGAGAAAACCCGAATAACCAAGGACCTATATACAAACACCCGCAAAAACCTCAGAAAACACACACACACACATATATATATAACCAAATAAATAAATGTGAGCACCAGGGAGTGCTAAAAAATTTAATAAAATTTAGTAAAATGTCAATAAAATTACAATAAAACCAATAAAACGCCTAGCTTTCGTCAGCAACTGCTGACATCATCAGGGCTCAAAATGCCGGTCAGTAAGAGAGTCCTCTTTATAGATTGGCCAGAATCTGCACCCGGCTCCTAGATCTTGTCATTGGGCCTGATGGAATAGGCCAGTGGTTCTCAACCTTTCTAATGCCGTGACCCCATAATACTGTTCCCCATGTTGTGGTGACCCCATAATACATCACCGGATGCCAGGGGCGTGGCCAAAGAAAAGGGGGGAAAAATGGCGGACAGCCTTGTTTGGCGACCCCCGTGAAATGGTCGTTCGACCCCAAATGGGGTCCCGACCCACAGGTTGAGAACCACTGGAATAGGCTGTTTCCTGGTTTCTTATTAGCAATAATTGCTTTCTTGCATTTCTTGCTTGTGTAACTGTCATCGGGTGTTTTCTCTTTGCCAAATTCGGGGTTTGATGGAACGTCCCCCCTCTTTTTTTGCTTTATTGCCACACCCACTTTGTTTAGTTGCACCCCTCCATCCCCCCTTTCCCCACTTTTTGAGCCCTGGTGATGTCAGCAGTTGCTGACGAAAGCTAGGCGTTTTATTGGTTTTATTGTAATTTTATTGACATTTTACTAAATTTTATTAAATTTTTTAGCACTCCCTGGTGCTCACATTTATTTATTTGGTTTTAAATATGGATATACCCAGGGATCATATTTTTAGTGTAATTGTTAACATACATACATACACACACACACACACACACACACACGCATGCATACATACATACATATATATATATGGCCCTCCTAGTGCTGAGACAGTTCTTGTGTGAAGCTGGGCACCCAACACAGGGTGAGTCTGCCTATCTATGCTTGGTTTCAGTCAAGGAGAATCTTCATAGCTCAGTTGAAAGGAAAGGGTCCCTGGTGGTCTCTGAGCTGGGTGGTCTTCTTGCAGACGTCTCATGACCCAAGTAGAGAACAACATCAGGGCTAGAAAGGAGGAGGAGGAGGAGGACGATGACAATGGGGTCCTTGGTGCCCTCTGAGCTGGGTAGTCTTCTTGCAGACGTCTCATCCAACTAGGTAGCATCATCAATGCTAGAAGGGAGGAGGAGGAGGACTGTGGGGTCCTTGGTGCTCTCTGAGCTGGGTGGTTTTCTGGCAGACGTTTTGTGACTCAACTAGGCAACCTCATCAGTGCTAGGAGGAGGGAGGAGGAGGAGAAGATGAAGGAGGAGGAGGAGGAGGAGGAGGAGGAGGCGAAGGAGAAGAAGAAGGAGAAGGAGGAGGAGAAGAAGAAGGAGAAGGAGGAGGAGGAGAAGAAGAAGAAGAAGAAGAAGAAGAAGAAGAAGAAGAAGAAGAAGAAGGAGAAGGAGGAGGAGAAGGAGGAGGAGGAGGAGGAGGAGGAGAAGAAGAAGAAGAAGAAGAAGAAGAAGAAGAAGAAGAAGAAGAAGAAGAAGAAGAAGAAGAAGAAGAAGAAGAAGAAGAAGAAGAAGAAGAAGAAGAAGAAGAAGAAGAATAAGAAGAAGAAGAAGAAGAATAAGAAGAAGAAGAAGAAGAAGAAGAAGAAGAACAAGAAGAAGAAGAAGAAGAAGAAGAAGAAGAAGAAGAAGAAGAAGAAGAAGAAGAAGAAGAAGAAGAAGAAGAAGAAGAAGAAGAAGAAGAAGAGAGCTGTGGGGTTCCTGGTGCTCTCTGAGCTGGGCGGTTTCCTTGCAGACGTTTCATGACCCGACTAGGGAATGTCATCACTGCTAGGAGGGAAGGAGGAGGAGGAGGACTGTGGGGTCCTTGGTGCTCTCTGAGCTTGGCTGTTCTCTTGTAGACGTTTCATGACCCGACTAGGGAACATCATCAGGGCTAGATGGGAGGGGGGATTGTGGAGAGGAGAAGAAGGAAGGGGAAGAGGGAAAGAGGAAGGAATAAAGGAGGGAAGAGGGAGAGGAGGATTCTGGGGTCTTTATTGATCTCTGAGCTTGATGGTTTCCTTGCAGACGTTTCATGACCCAACTAGGGAAGATCATCAGGGCTAGGAAGGGAGGAGGAGGAGGGGAAAGAGAAGGAGGAGGAGGACTGTGGGGGTCCTTGGTGCTCTCTGAGCTTGGTGGTTTTCTGGCAGACATTTTATGACCCGTCTAGGTAACGTTATCAATGCTGGACACTGATGATGTTCTCTAGTTGGGTCATGAAACGTCTGCAGCAAAACCACCCAGCTCAGAGACCACCACGGATCCTTCATATTCTTGGTTTTTATAGGGAAGGAAAAAGAGGAGTGTGCAGAATGTCTTGAAGCAGATTGCTTCCTACCCTGGTAGCTGTGTGCCGGTTGTGGGGGTACGGGGGGGGGGGGAGGCAGAATGGATTCTGGAAGGATGGTTGGGTTTGGGGCATCTGCCCAGTTTTTATGACCTTTTATTTGCCGTGGTTGTTAAGCGAATCACCCTGGTTGTTAAGTGAATCGCATGGTCGTTAAGCAGATCCATCTCCCCTCGTTGACTCGGCTTTGGCCCCAGAATTTCCCTTGCTAACCAAGACCCTTCTCAAGTCAGGCAGGCAGGAATTCCTGAGCTTTTTTGACAGAGCCGCTAAGCAAATCGCCGTTAAGTGAACAACACCGTTGTTAAGTGAATCTCCCCCTGGACGTTGCTTATCAGCTGGGAAGGTCGTAAGTGGCGGTCCTGGGACCCTGGAATCATCATAAATGCTGGCCAGTTGCAAGTACCAAAACGTTGATCACGCCACAGTGGAGAGCCTAAGGCGGTCATAAATGTGAGGACTGATTGTAAGCCATTATTTTTAGTGCCATTGTCAATTTGAACTGTTGCTAAACAAGTCAAGGACTACCTGTATATTGCTCCCCTTGCAAGCGAGATTATGGGTGTACAAAGATGGAGCATGTAGCAGCCGTTAAACAAATGCTTGTAAGTTGAGGACTGCCTGTAACTAGCAGTGTTGTTGTTGTTGTTAGTTGTGAAGTCATGTCCGACCCATTGTGACCCCATGGACAACGTTCCTCCAGGTCTTCCTGTCCTCTACCATCTTCTGGAGTCCATTGAAGCTCACGCCTCCTGCTTCAGTGACTCCATCCAGCCATCTCATTCTCTGTCATCCCCTTCTTCTCTTGCCCTCCATCTTTCCCAGCATCAGGCTCTTCTCCAGTGAGTCCTTTCTTCTCATTAGGTGGCCAAAGTATTTGAGTTTCCACTTCAGGATCTGGCCTTCTAAAGAGCAGTTGAGTTGATCTCCTCCAGGACTGACCGGTTGGATCGCCTTGCAGTCCAGGGGACTCGTAGGAGTCTTCTCCAGCACCAGAGTTCAAAGGCCTCCATTCTTTGGCGCTCGGCCTTTCTTATGGTCCAACTTTCACAGTATTTTGTTTTTAATCTGAAGAAGTTGTGTCTGTGTTGCCCGGACAAGCAACATTGCGTCTGAACACACCCCGAACTGGTCAAATTAAACAGGGATCGCCAACATCCTGGTTGGCAAATTGATCACAGGCTTGGACTAGGACAGGGTTCCCCAACCATTCAGGGTTGGCGGGTGGGGCTGCGAACACCACGATGCTCATGGCCATGTTGCCATGGGTGGGGCCATGAACACCTGCAACGCTCGTGGCTATGCTCACACAGCTGGTGCCGCAAACACCCGCAATGCTTGTGCATGTGGGACAAGCACCGCCATGCTCATGGCAATGCTCGTACAGGTAGTGCCGCAAACATGCACGATGCTCATGCACGTATGGCCGCAAACACCTGCAGCACGCATGGTGACACTCGCATGGGTGGGGCCGCAAATGACCACGACATAGTGATGCTCACGTGGGGTACAAACGCTGCAACGCTCAGGGCGATGCTCGCACAGGTGGGGCCGCGAACACCCACGACACTCATGGCAATGCGCATGCAGGGCACAAATGCTGCAACGCTCAGGGCGATGCTCGCACAGGTGGGGCTGCGAAAGCCCGCCATGGTTGTGCGCGGGGGGCCACAAACAACCGGGACACTCTTGCTGAATCTCGCACGGCTGGGGCCGCATACGCCCATGACGCTCACAGTGACGCTTGTGTGAATGGGGTTGCACAAACGCACACGCTTGCGCAGCGGCCAGCCGTTCATGTGGCCCGGTAGTGGGCTGTGGCCCACAGGTTGGAGACCCCTTCCCACTCTGTAATGCTGTAAGGGTCTCTGTTGTGTTTCCTTCCCAGGCAGTGAGACTGGAGAGCACCTATCAAAACCGCACACGCTACATGGTGGTGATTTCGACAAATGGCCGGCAAGACACGGAGGAGAGCATCGTCCTGGGGGTGGATTTTTCATCCAATGACAGGTGAGTTACGATGCTCTGCAAGGTTCTGGTGCGCACGTGCACGCGCACACACACACACATACACACACACACCGAGGCAGGAGTATCCAACCTTGCCCCCTTTAAGACTTGTCTAGCCATTGTTGGAAACGTAGACAAAAACCAGGCACATACTACCATCTTTGGTGGACATGCCCTAAAGCCAGGGGTCTTCCAACTTGGCCCTTTGATGACTTGGGGACTTCAACTCCCAGAATTCCTCAGCTAGCGTACCTGGCTGAGGAATTCTGGGAGTTGAAGTTCATAAGTCAACAAAGGGCCAAGTTGGAAGACCCCTACCCTAAAGCCAAAAGATTTTAATAATAATAATAATAATAATAATAATAATAATAATAATAGTAGTAGTAGTAGTAGTAGTAGTAAAGTTGGAAGAGACGTTGGAGGTCATTTAGTCCACCCCCCTGCTCAGGCAGGAAACCCTATACCATTTCAGACAAACGGCTGTCCAGTCTCTTCTTAAAAACTTCCAGTGTTGGAGCATTTACTGCTTCTGGAGGCAGGTGGTTCCACTGGTTAATTGTTCTAATGGTCAGGAAGTTTCTCCTTAGTTCTAGGTTGCTTCTCTCTTTGTTTAGTTTCCATCCGTTGCTTCTTGTCCTGCCTTCAGGTGCTTTGGAGAATAGCTTGACTCCCTCTTCTTTGGGGCAGCCCCTGAGATACTGGAAGAACTGCTATCCTGTCCCCCCTCGTCCTTCTCTTCATTAAACTTGATCCAGAATACATATATGGTTAGAGAAAACGATTAAAAAACATACAGATTTTAAGCCAGAACTATTTTTGTTAGGTATAATTGTAGGAAATGGTGAGAAAGCGTGTATAGATTTAACATTACATATATTGACGGTTCCTTTCTCTCTGGCTCAGTTTTCTAGCCATCGATAGAAATTGTTCCGTGTTCTAAAGTATTCTGAATCTTTTTCCTCTTTTATCTTCAATGTCAATCTGTCCATTTCCGCACAATCTAAGATTGTCTTAATCAATTCTTCCTCCGTTGGTAGGCTTGCCTTTTTCCAATATTGAGCAAATACTATTCTTGCTGCAGTTAATACATGTAAAATTAAGTATGTAGATTCTTTCTCCTAGTTTCCTACTATTCTGCCTAACCAAAAATAAAAAATAAAAAAAATTCTGGCTGAAAGTCTGTATGTTTTTTAATCATTTTCTCTAACCATATGTGTATTCTTGACCAAATTTTTTTAGCTTTAGGGCACGTTCACCAGATATGATAGTAAGTACCTGGTTTTTGTTTACATTTAATAATAATAAAGTTGGAAGACATAATAATAATAATAAATAGAAAGACTGTGGCAAAAGCAAGCAAGGGTAGTACCAATAGTCATAGGCTCCTTGGGTGCAATCCCAAAACAACTGGAGCCCCACTTGAACACCATTGGCATTGACAAATTCGCTATTAGTCAATTGCAAAAGGCGGCCTTGCTAGGAACTGCTTCCGTCCTGCGACGATACCTGTAATACCATCAAACATCCACATCTGCCTATCCCAGGTCCTGGGTAAGGACTCGATAGGTAGACAAAATGCCAAATCCAGTCTGAACATCTGGCTGACTGTGCGATGATCAATAATAATAATAAAGTTGGAAGGCACCTTGGAGGTCATCTAGTCCAACCCCCTGCCCAGGCAGGGAACCCTGTACCATTTCAGACAAAGGGCTGTCCAGTCTCTTCTTAAAAACTTCCAACGTTGGAGCACTCACCGCTTCTGGAGGCAGGTTTTTTAAACATTTTTGCTAATCTCACCGGTGTTAAATCCCATCTATACAACATTTTGTATAAGTTTTCTTTAAATGTGGCCGAAGGGGGGGGGGGACAGCCGCTGTTAAGGGCCTTTCCGGGATGGGGATATATTTAGGGACGTTCTCCACTCCCCTCCACTCCTTCCAAAGACCCCAGCAACAAGGCTAAATTGAGGTTGGAAATTTGAAGCAGGTCAGGAGGGACATATTTCCAACAGCCAGGAAAGCAGCAGACGGCTAGACACAGCGGGGGTGGGGTGGGCAAACTGCCCCCCTGCCCAAGCTGGACCAAAATCAAGGTCAAGGAATCAGAGCTCAGAAATTTCAGCTCTTCCTCCCTTTAAGATCGAGCTGGGGGGAAAAAAAAATCAACATTGAATAAAGAAATAAACAAGCTGGAAAAAAAAAACCAACGGTAAATACGAATAAATTCAATAAAAATAAAATAAATGAAAGCCGAAAATAATCAACAGTAACATAAATAAGCGAATGAAAAAAATAAAAGCTGTAAAAAAAAAATCTGCGGAACATAAATAAGTGAATAAATAAATAAATAAAAGCTGTTAAAAAAATCAGCGGGAACGTAAATAAGTGAATAAATAAATAAAAGCTGTTAAAAAAATCAGCGGGAATGTAAATAAGTGAATAAATAAAAGCTAAAAAAATCAGCGGGAACAAATAAGTGAATAAATAAATAAATAAAAGCTGTAAAAAAATCAGCGGGAGCATAAATAAGTGAATAAATAAATAAATAAAAGGTCTTCCTCTCTTTAAGAACGAGCTAAAAATCAGCATTGAATAAAGAAATAAATAAGCTGGGGAAAAAAAACCCCAATGGTAATATGAATAAAGTCAATAAAAACAAACAAATGAAAACTGAAAATAATCAGCAGTAACATAAATGACTTGGACTAGATGACCTCCAAGATCCCTTCCAATTTTATTATTATTATTATTATTATTATTATTATTATCATTAAATCAAAGCTGTAAAAAAAATCAGTGGGAACATAAATAAGAATAAATAAATAAAAGCTGTAAAAAAATCAGTGGGAACATAAATAAGAATAAATAAATAAATAAAAGCTGTAAAAAATCAGCAGGAACGTAAATAAGTGAATAAAAAAAATAAAAGCTGTAAAAAATCAGCGGGAGCATAAATAAGTGAATAAATGAAAAATAAATTAAATTGTAAATCAGCGGGAACAAATAAGTGAATAAAAAAATAAATAAAAGCTGTAAACAATCAGCAGGAGCATAAATAAATAAATAAAAGCTGTAAATAATCAGGAGCATAAATAAGTGAATAAAAAATAAAAGCTGTAAATCAGCGGGAACAAATAAGTAAATAAAAAAATAAAAGCTGAAAAAAATTAGTGGGAACATTAAGTGAATAAGTAAAAGCTGAAAAAATAAGCGGTAAAATAAATTGAATAAAAAATAAAAGCTAAAAAAATCAGCGGGAACATAAGTGAGTAAAAAAACAAATACTAAAAATCAGCAGGAACATAAGTGAATAAATAAATAAAAGCTGTAAAAAAAATCAGTGGCAAGAAGTATGTGAATAAAAAAATAAAAGCTGAAAAAAATTAGCGGAAACATTAAGTGAATAAAAACTAAAAGCTGAAAAAATAAGTGGTAACAAATAATCGAATAAGCAATAAAAGCTAAAAAAATCAGCGGGAACATTAAGTAATTTAAAAAAAAGCTGAAAAAAATCAACGGGAACATAAGTAAATAAAAAAATAAGGTAAAAAAATCAGCAATGGCGTAAATGAATAAAGGCAGTTTATTCACTTATTTACATTAAGCTGATTTTTTTTTTAATGATGAACCTCCGATTTTGGAACAATTCACAATAAAAAAAATAAATAAATTCAGAGCCCATCAAATTCATATTTTTTTTAAGGAAGTTAAAAAAATATAGCTAGTCCTCAACAACCACAATTTAGCTCAAACTTTCGGTGGCTACAAGTCATAAAAGAGCCAAGGTTTCCCACCTCTGGTCTGGACTACCTACGCTGGCCATAGGCACCATGCATTGACCTGGGGCTTAAGTGCGTTCAACACAATTGTGTCTCACATCATTGGAAACAAAGTAGGATGGTGGGTGGGGGAGTGAGTTGGTCCTGGGTTCAAGGCTCCGAGATTGCTACGAGCTTATAATAATAATAATAATAGTAAAGTTGGAAGGGACCTTGGAGGTCATCTAGTCCAACCCCCTGCTCGGGCAGGAAACCCTACACCATTTCGGACAAATGGCTGTCCAGTCTCTTCTTAAAAACTTCCAGTGTTGGAGCATTTGTTTTTTTTTTTTATTGGTCCTACAGCACCGTTTGCACAATGGGGCTGGTCCTGCCGCTCTGGAGCGATGCCCTCATCCATTTGGACGGCGATGGGTAAGCACTGGGTCCCACCTGAGCTTGGGACTCCCATCTTCCCTTCCACCTGATGCCCCAGATTTTCTTCCCCGACAGCATTGGGTTAGTCTAGAACAGTGTTTCTCAACTGTAGAGGGGTGGACTTTAAGAGGGATGGACTTCCACTCCCAGAATCCCCCAGGCAGCATGCTTTAAGAGGGGTGGGCTTCCACTCCCAGAATCCCCCAGCCAGCCTGCTTTAAGAGGGGTGGATTTCCACTCCCAGAATCCCCCAGCCAGCCTGCTTTAAGAGGGGTGGATTTCCACTCCCAGAATCCCCCAGCCAGCCTGCTTTAAGAGGATTTCCACTCCCAGAATTCCCCAGCCAGCCTGCTTTAAGAGGGGTGGACTTCCACTCCCAGAATCCCCCAGCCAGCCTGCTTTAAGAGGAGTGGGCTTCCACTCCCAGAATCCCCCAGCCAGCCTGCTTTAAGAGGATTTCCACTCCCAGAATCCCCCAGCCAGCCTGCTTTAAGAGGGGTGGACTTCCACTCCCAGAATCCCCCAGCCAGCCTGCTTTAAGAGGGGTGGGCTTCCCCTCCCAGAATCCCTCAGCCAGCCTGCTTTAAGAGGGGTGGACTTCCCCTCCCAGAATCCCCCAGCCAGCATGCTTTAAGAGGGGTGGACTTCAATTCCCAGTATTTGGCTGGCTGGCTGGAGAATTCTGGGAGTTGAAGTCTACCCGTCTTAGAGTTGCTAGTTTTGAGAAACAGCTCTAGATGTTCCCCTTGTTGGTACAAATCTTATATTTCAGTGTCGAGGGACACACAAGTGTGTGCCGACATTCCCCACTTGCTCCTCTTGTGTCCAAAGAGATGCTGAACCGTGAGGAGGAAGCTTCCGTTTGTCCATCCGTAAATCCCACGTCTCCAATTTATTAGTCCATTTTCAGGAAGGGAGCGGGCGGTTCGGGTCCTCTAGCCCAGTGGTTCTCAACCTTTTTAATGCCGTGACCCCCAACCGGTCGTAAGTCGAGGACTACTCAACCGGTCGTAAGTCAAGGACTACTCAACTGGTGCAGCACCGTTTGCAGAATGGGGCTTTTGGCGGGCTCAGAAGGGCAGAGACAGCCTGGACAATTCCTATTGGCTTTTGAAAGCCAATAGAATTAGACTCTATTCAAGAGAGTCTATTCTCTCAACCCCACAGGTTGAGAACCACTGGTCTAGCCCAAGGAACGGAATGAGTTCCTTTCTTTTTTAAAAAAAAAATAATGATGATGATGGTATCCTGGTTTCCTTCTTATTGCCAAATTGTGGGGGACGGATGCCCTCGTGCATCGGTTCTCCAGGCCGAGCCGGCTCCCCCAAAACCGAGAAAGAGGTGTTGAGATTCTTCTCAACCTTCTCCTTTTTCGTCCCCCCACCTGTAGACCGAAATCTTTGCCCAACTAAAGCGGATTATTTGCACCACAAAACGTAGATCGTGAAAACTGTTAAGGAGACGCTGTCTTCACCCTCTTTCTCATACACAAATTGCTCCAGTGGAAAGCAGCCCCTCCCACCTGGAAATCCAGACTACAGTCCACCACAGTGGGGAAAAAAAAAAGGATAAATATTTTTTTCTTCACTTTAAACCAGTGTTTCTCAACTTTGACAATTTTGGCAAATGCTGGCTGTGGAATTCTGGGAGTTGAAGTCCACATGCCTTAAAATTGTCAAAGTTGAGAAACACTGGTTTAAACTTAATTGTTTGAACTGCCCCTGGGGATATTATTCTCTTTGGAAAAGTTAAGAGTTCAGATGCTTCAACCCTTCTTTTCTTCCTGCAGGGGCTTCAGCGTTTCCACCGACAATCGCATCCACATCTTCAAACCGGTGTCCGTACAGGCTATGTGGTGAGTCCATTTCTACTTCCTCCGTGTGGCTAAATCCCTCGGTCCATAAGGACCCGCAGCCAGGTGACCCTATAGCGTTTTCAAAGTGGCAGTGGCCCTTTTCTTGGCGGAGCTGATCTCCACAGCTATACTGCTCTTAAACGTGGAGGCTCCACTTCAGTCTTCAATCTTGCAGGCGCCCCTATCCCTGGACTAACCAGGTTTATTGCCTGCTCAGCATTTTTTTGGGTAGAGGGTTATCTGGATCTGTTGAGTGATGCACATTTTTAATGGCCAACTTAATATCAAAGAAATGGTGGAGTAGAATCGTTCAAAGCAGAATGCAAAAGGAAGGGGGAAAGGAAACGGGAATAACAAAAATTAAAATATTTTTTTAAAAAATAATTAAAATAATTACAATGAATTGTTAATGACAATAGCAATAATAATAACGGGGTTGGATTAGATGACCTCCAAGGTCCCTTACAACAACATCATCATCATCATCATCATCATCATCATCATCATCATAATAATAATGTTGGACGGGACCTTGGAGGTCATCTAGTCCAACCCCCTGCTCAGGCAGGAAACCCTATATACCATTTCGGACAAATGGTTGTCCAGTCTCTTCTTAAAAACTTCCATTGTTGGAGCATTCACCGTTTCTGGAGGCAAGGAGTTCCACTGATTAACTGTTCTAACTGAATAAGGGGTTTTTTTTGTAAATTTTTATTGATTTTCTAATATTACATTTAAATATTTGAAAGCAAAGGTGGCGGCTGAGTACAATAATTCTATTACACATAGATATCATTAGTACAGTTCTCAAATTGTTACAATCCCCATTGCCTCTCTTTCTGTCTCATATTTTAATTAATACAATTCTTGTTCTGTCAATCAAATAGAAAGTAACTTTCTAATATTTATCAATTATTTTTAGTTAATATATATCTCAGTTGTTTTAACTTTCAGTCTTGACCAGGGATAGGCAACCTTGGCTCTTTCATGACTGGTGGACTTCAACTCCCAGAATTCCTGAACTGGCATGGCTCAGCTTGGAAACCTCTCCCTTTCCCCTCAGCATGGCTGGCTCAGGAATTCTGGGAGTTGAAGTCCACCAGTCATGAAGCGGCCATAGTTCCCCCATGCTGGCTCAGGAATTCTGGGAGTTGAAGTCCACCAGTCATGAAGCGGCCATAGTTCCCCCATGCTGGCTCAGGAATTCTGGGAGTTGAAGTACACGAGTCATGAAGGGGCCACAGTTCCCCCATGCTGGCTCAGGAATTCTGGGAGTTGAAGTCCACAAGTCATGAAGGGGCCATAGTTCCCCCATGCTGGCTCAGGAATTCTGGGAGTTGAAGTCCACAAGTCATGAAGGGAGCCATAGTTCCCCCATGCTGGCTCAGGAATTCTGGGAGTTGAAGTCCACAAGTCATGAAGGGAGCCATAGTTCCCCCATGCTGGCTCAGGAATTCTGGGAGTTGAAGTCCACCAGTCATCAAAGAGCCAAGGTTGCCTACCCTGCTTTAGACAATCAATGACCTACTCCATTTTTCTCCATTTTAAATTTTTCATTAATATTTAAATTTAACATTTAATAATTACCATTTCCACACGTTAGATGACCCCAATTCCTTTATCACCATTCCTCCCAAAGTCTAATACTCAGGATACACATCTATATAAGTTCTCACCATCTACATCAGTGGTTCTCCACCTGTGGGTCGGGACCCCATTTGGGGTCGAACGACCATTTCACGGGGGTCGCCAAACAACGCAGTCCGCCATTTTTTCCCCCTTTTTCCTTAGCTGTGCTACTCCCTTTTATTCTATTGGCTTTTGAAAGCCAATAGAATACACTCTCTTGAATAGAGTCTAACTCTATTGGCTTTCAAAAGCCAATAGGATTGTCCAGGCTGTCTCTGCCCTGCTGAGCCCGCCAAAAGTCCCATTCTGCAAACGGTGCTGCACCCATTGAGTAGTCCTTGACTTACGACCGGTTGAGTAGTCCTCGACTTACGACCGGTTGGGGGTCGCGGCATTAAAAAGGTTGAGAACCACTGATCTACATCAACAAGTTAATAATGCAATAATAGTATTCTTATTTTCTAATAATTCTCAATTGTGGAATAAGTTGACTACAGGGAAGTTGCTCCATTTGCAACCATGCCCTCCAGTTCTTTGCTTGTTAGTCGCCTTTGGTGTTCAAGGGACGTGTGGGAGCCTTTTCCGGCACCACCGGGCACCATGGCTAGTTGCACATCCTGGTTTAACAGAAGCCTGTCTTCTCCCCGGGCAGTTCCCCCCCCCACTACACACACACACACACACACACACACACACACACACACACACACACACACAGAATCTGGGTTTGAGGTCGCCCTGCTATTTTTGTATTCCAAGAAAGCGGATGGTTGAGCCAATGGTGACCTTCGTGGAAATAAAAAAGGACGGGGAACGGGGGGGGGGGGCGACCAGGTTTCCATTCCTCAGTACGGATTTATTTTGGATGTTGGCATCCGGGCGCGAGCAGGGTGCCCAGCCCGTGCCAAGGGCTTAGTACGGCGTTGTGTTTATGTGATGCCTTTCATTGCTTTTTTTACTCAAATCGCCCTCTGCCTTTGCAGCAAAATTGAGTGTGGCGAGGGGAAACCAGGGTGACTGATGCTGATGATGTTCCCTAGTTGGGTGATGAGACATCTGCAGGAAAGCAGCCAAGCCCAGAGAGCACCAAGGGCCCTATCCTCTTCCTCCTTCTCCTCCTCCTCCCACTCTTCTTCTCCTGCACTCCACACACCCCACTCCTTCTAGTACTGATGATGTTACCTAGATGGGTAATGAAACATCTGCAAGAAAACATCCCAACTCAGAGAGCACCAGGGACCCCATAATCCTCCTCCTCCTCTTCCTCCTCCTCCTCTTCTTCTTCTCCTCCTTCTTCTTCTTCTTCTTTTTTTCTTCTTCTCCTCCTCCTTCTTCTTCTTTTTCTTCTTCTTCTTCCTCCTCCTCCTCCTCCCCCTCTTCTTCTTCTTCTTCTTCTTCTTCTTCTTCTCCTTCTCCTTCTCCTTCTCCTTCTCCTTCTCCTTCTCCTTCTCCTTCTCCTTCTTCTTCTTCTTCTTCTTCTTCTTCTTCTTCTTCTTCTTCTTCTTCTTCTCCTCCACTCCACATACCCACTCCCTCTAGCACTGATGATGTTACCTAGATGGGTAATGAAACATCTGCAAGAAAACTACCCAGTTCAGAGAGCACCAAGAACCCCATAGTCCTCGTACTCCTCCTCCTCCTCCTCCACACACCCTCCTCCTCCTCCTCCACACACCCTCCTAGCACTGATGAGGTTACCTAGTTGGGTCATGAAACGTCAGCAAGAAAACCACCCAGCTCAGATAAGCATCAAGGGCCCCTCATTTCAAGCTACAAATATTCTCCTTTATTAAACCAGAGTCATCTTGTCTCTGTTTCCTCCCCCCCCCCATCTGCCCCCTCCCCAGGTCTGCCCTGCAGAGCCTTCACAAAGCCTGCGAAGTGGCCCGGATCCATAACTATTACCCTGGCAGCCTTTTCCTCACCTGGGTCAGCTACTATGAGAGCCACATCAATTCCGACCAGTCCTCGGTCAACGAGTGGAATGCCATGCAGGATGTCCAGTCCCACCGCCCGGATTCCCCAGCCCTCTTTACGGACGTGTAAGTGGATCGGGGCACCCTACCAAACTCCCACAAGGACACAAGGATCAAGCAAAGGAAGAAGTACAAGCACAGTGGAGGCCAAAATTCCCAACTCTAAGCGAGGCCATTGTGAGTATAGAGTAGAGTAGAGTAGAGTAGAGTAGAGTAGAGTAGAGTAGAGTAGAGTAGAGTAGAGTAGAGTAGAATTTGGAATAGAATAGAATTTGGAATAGAATTTGGAATAGAATAGAATAGAATTTGGAATAGCATAGAATTTGGAATAGAAGAGAATTTGGAATAGAAGAGAATTTGGAATAGAATTTGGAATAGAATAGAATAGAATTATGGGAACAGAACAGAACAACAGAATAGAATAGAATAGAATAGAATAGAATAGAATAGAATAGAATAGAATAGAATAGAATAGAATAGAATTTGGAATAGAATAGAATAGAATTTGGAATAGAATAGAATAGAATTACGGGAACAGAACAGAACAGAATAGAGTAGAATAGAAGAATGAAAAGAATAGAGTAGAGTAGAATAGAAGAATGAAAAGAATAGAGTAGAGTAGAATAGAAGAATGAAAAGAATAGAATAGAGTAGAATAGAAGAATGAAAAGATTAGAAGGATGAAAAGAATAGAAGAATGAAAAGAATATACTAGACTAGAATAGATTAGAATAGAATAGAATAGAATAGAATAGAACTCTTTATTGGCCAAGTGTGATTGGACAAACAAGGAATTTGTCTTTAGTGAGTTTCGCCCCATTTTACAACCTTTCCCGCCACAGTCGTTAAGTGAATCACTGCAACCATTAAGTGAGCCACATGGCAGTCGAGTGAATCTGGCTTCCCCAATTGGCTTTGCTCGCCTGAAGGTCGCAAAAGGGGGAATCACGTGACCCCAGGACGCTGCGACCGTCGTAAGTATGAGTCAGTGGCCAAGCATCTGAATTTTGATCAGGTGACCCATGGAGTGGGGGGGAGGCTGCAGCGGTTGTCAGTTTGAAAAAGGGGCCACGAATCAACTTTTGCCAGAGCCCCTGGAGGAACTTTGAAGAGCCCCTAAACCAGCGGTTCTCCACCTGTGGGGTCGGGACCCCATTTGGGGTCGAACGACCATTTCACGGGGGTCGCCAAACAACGCAGTCCGCCATTTTTTCCCCCTTTTCCTTAGCTGTGCTCCTCCCTTTTATTCTATTGGCTTTTGAAAGCCAATCGAATAGGCTCTCTTGAATAGAGTCTAATTCTATTGGCTTTCCAAAGCCAATAGGAATTGTCCAGGCTGTCTCTGCCCTGCTGAGCCCGCCAAAAGTCCCAGTCTGCCAACGGTGCTGCACCAGTTGAGTAGTCCTTGACTTACGACCGGTTGAGTAGTCCTTAACTTACGACCGGTTGGGGGGGTCGCGGCATTAAAAAGGTTGAGAACCACCGCCCTAAACGAACGCTTGCAAGTAGAGATGGGAAAGCCTTGGGGGGGGGGAAATCCTGGAAAAATCGAGGAAAAAAAACAACAGGTTTTCTCTTTTTCCTTTTGTTCTAAAGCCGTTTGGGGGTGGGGGAAATGGGAAAAAAACCCTGTTTCTTCCCCCCCCCATTTTTCCCATTTTTTCCCCCCCAGGCCTTCCCATCTCTAGTTGCAAGTTGACTTGTAAAGCAGAGCCGAAGGAAAGCCCCCAGCCCAAAGCATCCACCCCCACCCCTCCCTTTGGCTGAGGTTGCCTGGCTCTTCCTGGGCTCGGGCCATTGATGGCACCGGCCGTCTGCCTTTGGAGTCCTCCGGGACTTCATCCCCCTCCGATGAGGCTTGGCTATTTTTATAGCCGGCGATAAAGCCCGCAGGCTGCCCGGAATGCAGGGGCCAGTTCTCGGCGCCATATAAGGAAGCCTGGAAGGGTCACCTCCCCAAGAAAGGTAGGGAGTGCCAGAGAGAGGATGGAGCTACAAAGCGCGCCGATGCCCTTATCGGTGCAGGGGGGGCGGGAGGCCACCAAGCTGATCCCTGGGTTATTCCAGAGATGCTGTCCAGCTGCTTCCTCAATTTCCAGCCTGTGACCTTGAACCCACTCAGCTCTGGGTGGCCTGGCTGGAGACACACGGAGGAATGACCCGTTTTATGTTCATTGGCTTATTCATTAGATTTACGATAGGATAGGATAGATTATAGAATAGATTATAGAATAGATTATAGAATAGATTATAGAATGGAATGGAATAGAATATGGAATAAAATATAGAATATAGAATAGAGTAGAATAGAATAGAATAGAATAGAATAGAATAGAATAGAATAGAATAGGGATAGAATATGGAAAGAATATGGAAAGAATAGAATACATAGATAGAATAGAATAGAATAGAATAGAATATGGAAAGAAGAGAATAGAATATGGAAAGAAGAGAATAATAATAATAATAATAATAATAATAATAATAATAATAGTAAAGTTGGAAGGGACCTTGGAGGTCATCTAGTCCAACCCCCTGCTCGGGCGGGAAACCCTACACCATTTCGGACAAATGGCTGTCCAGTCTCTTCTTAAAAACTTCCAGTGTTGGAGCATTTACTGCTTCTGGAGGCAAGCTGTTCCACTGATTAATTGTTCTCACTGTCAGGAAGTTTCTCCTTAGTTCTAGGTTGCTTCTCTCCTTGATTAGTTTCCACCCGTTGCTTCTTGTCCTGCCTTCAGGTGCTTTGGAAAATAGCTTAATTCCCTCTTCTTTATGGCAGCCCCTGAGATATTGGAATACTGCTATCATGTCCCCCTTGTCCTTCTCTTCGTTAAACTAGACATACCCAATTCTAGCAACCGTTCCTTATATGTTTTAGCCTCCAGTCCCCTAATCATCTTTGTTGCTCTTCTCTGTACTCTTTCTAGAGTCTCAACATCTTTTTTACATCGTGGTGACCAAAACTGGATGCAGTATTCCAAGTGTGGCCTTACCAAGGCATTGAAGAGTGGTATTAATACTTCACGTGATCTTGATTCTATCCCTCTGTTAATGCAGCCTAGCACTGTGTTGGCCTTTTTGGCAGCTGCAGCACACTGCTGGCTCATATTTAAGTGATTGTCTACTAGGACTCCGAGGTCCCTCTCACAGTTACTACTATTGAGCATGGTGCCACCTATGCTGTACTTGTGCATTTGGTTTTTCTTGCCTAAATGTAGAACCTTGCTTTTTTCACCATTGAATTTCATTTTGTTAGTTAGTGCCCAGTGTTCAAGTCTGTCCAGATCCTTCTGTACCTGAAGCCTGTCTTCTGGAGTGTTGGCTATTCCTGCCAGCTTGGTGTCATCTGCAAATTTGATGAGTTCCCCATCTATCCCTTCATCCAAATCGTTGATGAAGATGTTGAAGAGTACTGGGCCCAGAACAGAGCCCTGGGGCACCCCACTACACACTTCCCTCCATATAGATGCAGTTCCATTGAGGACCACTCGCTGAGTACGGCCGGTCAGCCAGCTACGGATCCATCTGGTGGTGGTTCTGTCTACCCCACATTTTTCTATCTTGTCAAGTAGTAGGTTGTGATCTACTTTATCAAATGCCTTACTGAAGTCCAAGTAAATTATGTCCACAGCATTCCTCTGATCCACTAATTTTGTCACTTGGTCAAAGAATGCAATAAGATTTGTCTGGCATGATCTATTTTTGACAAACCCATGTGGCTTTTAGTAATGACTTTGTTTGCCTCTAGGTGTTCGTGATTCGTTGTTGATTATCTTTTCCAGGATCTTCCCAGGTATTGAGGTCAGGCTGATAGGTCTGTAATTTCCTGGATCCATTTTTTTTCCTTTTTTGAAGAAGGAAATACATCAGCTCTTTTCCAGTCCTCTGGTAGTTCCCCTGTGTTCCAGGATCTTTGAAAAATATAGTTCAGTGGCTCCGATATCACATCTGCCAGTTCCTTGAGAACTCTGGGGTGTAATCCATCTGGTCCTGGCGATTTGAACTCATCTAGGCTGGACAGGTGCTCACTAACCATTTTCTTGCCTATCTTAACTTGTGTTTCTGTTTTGTTTTTTATGGCACTATTTTTGATAGGTTGGTCTGTTTTTTCCCTTTGTGTAAAGACAGATGCAAAAAATGAGTTAAATAGTTCTGCTTTCTCCCTGTTGCTTGTCACCTTCTTGCCACTTCCACCCACTAATGGACCAATCATTTCCTTCACTTTTTTCTTGTTTTTTACATGTTGAAAGAAGCTTTTTTTTGTTATTTTTGACTTTGGTCGCAAGCCTTAGTTCATTTTGAGCCTTGGCTTTCTTCACTTCATCTTTGCAGGCTCGGGCTATTTGCTGATATTCTGACTTAGTTATGTTCCCCTCTTTCCACTTTCTATACTTGTCCTTTTTATCTTTCAATTTGTCAGAGAGTTCTTTATGCAGCCATGCTGGTTTCTTTTGAGAGCTGTTATTAATAATAATAGAATACATAGAATAGAATAGAATAGAATAGAATAGAATAGAATAGAATAGAATAGAATAGAATAGAATAGAATAGAATATGGAAAGAATAGAATAATAGAATACATAGAATAGAAGAGAAGAGAAGAGAATAGAAGAGAATATGTAAAGAAGAGAATAATAGAATACACAGAATAGAATAGGATAGAATAAGATAGGATAGGATAGGATAGGATAGGATAGGATAGGATAGGAAATGGAAGGAATAGAATAGAATGGAATAGAATAGAATAGGAAATGGAAGGGAACGGAACAGAGCAGAATAGAATAGAAATAGAAATAGAATAACAGAGTTGGAATAGAATAGGAAATGGAATAGAATAGGAAATAGAATGGAATGGAATGAAATAGAACAGAATAGAATAGAATAATAGCTTTATTGTCACTCTGAATGTACACTAATCGGCATACATTAAAACGAAATTTCATTGCCTTCAGCTCTCAAAGGGTCGCCACCTCCGATATACGCTACATAACTATGACATAAATAAATACAGATTATGCCTATACCCACATATATTATATGACACAGAGAAACCACACAGTCTAGTTTGGGCTATGTATACATGTGCATGGCGAGAAAAACGAATCTGGCGCGGTTTACCAGACGGACCGCATAGGGAACAAAGCTGTTACAGAATGGGTGGTCCTGCTATAAATACTTCAAAACCTCCTCCCAGAGGGGAGAACAGGAACAGACCATGAAGTGGGTGGGTCTGTGTGGTGTCTCTAACAATGTTTTGAGCTCTTAAGTACACAGCGGGTGACGTAGTCCTCACCTTAACGACCACAATTGGCTGAGCAAGAGGGGATGTTGTGAGTTTTGCCCCGTTTTACCACCTTCCTTGCCACAATTGTTAAAGTCCGTCGCTGCAGTTGTGAGGCACATGGGATTGTTAAGCGAATCGCTGCAGTTAGCAACACGGTCGTTAAGTGAATCCCCACTGACTTTGCTTGTGAGAAGGGTATCGCGTGACCGCAGAAAGGCTGCGACCGTCATAAAGATGAGCCCGTCGCTAAGCGTCTGAATTTTGGGGATGCTGCAGTGGCCGAAAGCGGTCACAGGTCACTTTTTTTCGGTGCCGTCGTAATTTTGAACGGTTGTAAGTCGAGGACTAGCTGTAGGGGAGTAAGGGACTCTGGGCGGCTTACAAATTCTGCAGCGATGGAACCGTTTTATGGAAAAAACATCCAAAGGAGGAATAATTAATAAATAAACGAAGCTGAGTGAAGGGACGCTGGACCTCAGTTGCGCCGGAGGGAAAAGAGGATGGGGGGGACAGGAAAAGAACACATTCAGGGGTGCGGTCAAATTCTGCACCCCTTCCTTGCCCGCGTCCGTGTCTTCCTTCCGGTTTCCACCGTTGTGGCTTCCCTCGTTTCAGCCCCACGGAACGCGAGCGGACAGAGCGTCTGATCAAGACCAAATTGAGGGAGATTATGATGCAGAAGGATCTGGAGAACATCACGTCCAAAGAGGTGAGTGGGGTGGGAAGGGGACCTTTGGGGACAGGGGGGGTCAAACTATTCTCCCAAGCACCAGCAACGGATGGAAACTGATCCAGGAGAGAAGCAACCTGGAATTAAGGAGAAACTTCCTGACAGTGAGGACAATTCACCAGTGGAACGGCTTGCCACCAGAAGTGGTGGGTGCTTCAACACTGGAAGTTTTTAAGAAGAGATTGAAGAGTTCACTTGTCTAAAATGGTCCAGCTCAGTTATACTATATTCTGCATTTTGAGATCCATACTCGATATATGGAGGAGGAACTTCCTGATAGTGAGAACAGTTAACCAGTGGAACAGCTTGCCACTAGAAGTTGTGGGCGCTCCATCACTGGAGGCTTTTAAGAAGAGACAGAACAGCCACCTGTCTGAAATGGGATAAGGTCTCCTGCTTGAGCAGGGGGTTGGACTAGAAGACCACCAGGGTCCCTTCCAACTGTGATATTCTACAGCCTCCAACGCCTTGCACACCTCCTAACATGTGGCTGTTTCGAAAGTATGCAGCCAAGCTGGTTATTGGCGAGGTTGAGAACATAAGACCTTCTTGTGGGTGACATGATAGCACTCTGCCAATAATAATAATAATAATAATAACAACAATAAAGTTGGAAGGCACCTTGGAGGTCATCTAGTCCAACCCCCTGCTCAGGCAGGAAACCCTATCCCATTTCGGACAAATGGCTGTCCAGTCTCTTCTTAAGAACCTCCAGTGTTGGAGCATTCACTGCTTCTGGAGGCAGGTTGTTCCATGGGTTAATTGTTCTAATTGTCAGGAAGTTTATCATAATAATAATAAAGTTGGAAGGGACCTTGGAGGTCTTCTAGACCAACCCCCTGCTCAGGCAGGAACCCTACACCATTTCAGACAAATGGCTGTCCAGTCTCTTCTTGAAAACTTCCAGTGTTAGTTCTAGGTTGCTTCTCTCTTTGGTTAGTTTCCATCCGTTGCTTCTTGTATCTGAGGGGCTGCCACAAAGAAGAGGTGGGGGGAGGTTCCACCTATTCCCCAAAGCGCCTGAAGGCAGGACAAGAAGCAACGGATGGAAACTAATCCAGGAGAGAAGCAACCTGGAATTAAGGAGAAACTTCCTGAAAGTGAGGATAATTAACCAGTGGAACAGCTTGCCACCAGAAGTTGTGGGTGCTTCAGTTTTTTAAGAAAAGACTAGACAGCCATCTGACCAAGATGGTCTAAGATATATCTTGGCCCTAGGATTCTATGATGAAGGAAGGAAGGAGGGAGGGAGGGAGGGAGGGAGGGAAGGAAGGAAGGGAAGGAAGGGAAGGAAGGAAGGAAGGAAGGAAGGAAGGAAGGAAGGAAGGAAGGAAGGAAGGAAGGAAGGAAGGAAGGAAGGAAGGGGTGGAACATCATCAGAGGGAGATCCCAACCTCTGGAGTAAAGGAGAAACTTCCTGACAGTAACAACAATTAACCAGCAGAACAACTTTGCCCTTCAGAAGTTGTAGTCTCTCCATCGCTGGAGGTTTTTAAGAAGAGACTGGGCAGCCATTTGTCTGAAATGGTATAGGGTCTCCTGCTTGAGCAGGGGGTTGGACTAGATGACCTCCAAGGTCCCTCCCGGCTCTATTCTGATTGATTGATCTTGGCAATTCCCCGGGCTGAGTCTCTCCACATCTTCCAATCTTTCACTCCTCCTCCTATGCTCTGGCTGGGGTCAGCTTTGACAATATCCAGCCATCAAGTGTTAAAATAGCATTTTATTTCCAATTCTTTTATTTGAAATATTTTATTTTTTAAAAATGCTTGTTCTCTCTCTGTGTGTTTGTCTCTTGTCTCTCCCTCCCTCCCTTCCTCTCTCTTTCTCTCTGTCTCTATCTGTCTCTTTCTCTCTCTCTCTCTCTCTGTCTCTCCCTCCCTCCCTTCCTCTCTCTGTCTCTCTCTCTGTGTCTGTCTCTTTCTCTCTGTCTCTCTCTGTCTCTCTTGTTCTCTCTGTCTCTGTCTCTTTCTCTGTCTGTCTGTCTCTCTCTCTCTCTCTCTCTCCCTTTGTCTGTCTCTCTTTCTCTGTGTGTCTTTCTTTGCTCTCCCTCCCTCCCTTCCTCTCTCTGTCTCTCTTTCTCTGTCTGTCTCTTTCTCTCTCTCTCTTTCTCTGTCTCTCTGTCTCTGTCTCTTTCTGTCTGTCTCTCTCCCTCTCTCTCTCTCTCTCTGTGTCTCTCCCTCCCTCCCTCCCTCTCTCTCTCTCTCTTTCTCTCTGTCTCTGTCTGTCTCTTTCTCTCTCTCTGTCTGTCTGTCTGTCTCTCTCTCTCCCTTTCTCTGTCTCTCTTTCTCTCTGTGTCTTTCTTTGTCTCTCCCTCCCTCCCTTCCTCTCTCTTTCTCTCTGTCTCTTTTTTCTTTCTCTCTCTCTCTCTCTTTCTCTGTCTCTCTCTTTCTGTCTCTCTCTTTCTCTTTGTCTCTCTGTCTCTCTTTCTCTCTGTCTCTTTCTCTCTGTCTGTCTCTTTCTCTCTCTCTCTCTCCCTTCCTCTCTCTGTCTCTCTTTCTCTCTGACTTTCTCTCTCTCTCTCTCTCTCTCTTTCTCTTTCTCTCTCTCTCTCTTTGTCTCTCTGTCTTTGTCTCTCCCCCTCCCTCACCCAGATCCGCACAGAACTGGAAATGCAGATGGCGTGCAATCTGCGAGAATTTAAGGAATTCATAGATAACGAGATGATCATCATCCTGGGCCAGATGGACAGCCCCACGCAGATCTTCGACCATGTCTTCCTGGTGAGGCTTTCCTGCCACGGGAACAAACGGCCCTCTTCGCCCGGGCTTCAGGTTTTCCATCTCACACCAATGTTCTTCTCGTTTCCCATGCGCTTCCGGTCAAACTCTTGCAAAGTCTGAGTAAATTCCTGGATTATCATCCTGCATGCAGTGGGGTAGAACAGACACTTCCCTTTTGGGAGAATTGTACAGCTTGGAGATCTGGGGTGTCCAACCTTGGCCAATTTAAGACTGGTGGACTTCAACTCCCAGAATTCCCCAGTCAACCATGCACACACATGGGAGTTGAAGTCCACCAGCTTTAAAGTGGCTAAAGTTGGACGCTCTTGGCTTAGACCGGGGGTAGGCAGCCTTGGCTCTTTTATGACTTGTGGACTTCAACTCCCAGAATTCCTGAGCCAGCATGGGGAACTATGGCCCCCTTCATGACTGGTAGACTTCAACTCCCAGAATTCCTGAGCCAGCATGGCTCAGCTTGGAAACCTCTCCCTTTCCCCTCAGCATGGCTGGCTCAGGAATTCTGGGAGTTGAAGTCCACGAGTCATAAAAGAGCCAAGGTTGCCTACCCCTGGCTTAGACCAATATTTCTAAACTCCAGGAATTGTAAGACATGTGGACTTCAACTCCCAGAATTCTTTGCTGGCTGGGGAGTTCTGGGAGTTGGTCCACAAGCCTTAAAGTGGCTAAAGTTGGACACGCCTAGCTTGGACCAGTCTTTCTAAACATCAGGGACTTTAAGACATGTGGACTTCAGCTTCCAGAATTCCTTGCGCACTGGGGAATTCTGGGAGTTAATGTCCACACCTCTCAAAGCTGCTAAGTTCGAGAAACCCTGGGTTTACACAGCATCCTAGCCAGGGGTAGGCAACCTTGGCTCTTTTATGACTGGTGGACTTCAACTCCCAGAATTCCTGAGCCAGCATGAGGGAAATTTTGGCCCCTTCATGACTCGTGGACTTCAACTCCCAGAATTCCTGAGCCAGCATGGGGGAAATTATGGCTCCCTTTATGACTGATGGACTTCAACTCCCAGAATTCCTGAGCCAGCATGGGGGAACTATGGCCCCCTTTATGACTTGTGGACTTCAGCTCCCAGAATTCCTCAGCCAGCATGGCCCAGCTTGGAAACCTCTCCCTTTCCCCTCAAGCATGGCTGGCTCAGGAATTCTGGGAGTTGAAGTCCACGAGTCATGAAGGGGCCAAAATTTCCCTCATGCTGGCTCAGGAATTCTGGGAGTTGAAGTCCACCAGTCATAAAAGAGCCAAGATTGCCTACCCCTGTCCTAGACAACGACAGTCAAATATTCTTAGCCAGGGGTTTTGAATATCTCTTGTACCTGATATTCTCATATATGGCTTTTTTAATTATAATTATTATTATTACTTGCACGACCAGCTCTGCTCTTGGCTGACATGTGACTGTTGTGTTTCGCTTTCTCGCCTGTTTGTGCAGGGTTCGGAGTGGAACGCCTCCAATCTGGAAGACTTGCAGACAAGAGGGTGAGTTGGCCACGAAAATTGTCCTCACAAAACACAAGTTTTATTGTTTGGGTTCAATTGCATTAATTTGGTTTCATCCAGTGATTTAAATAAACAGTTGGTTTTATTGGCAGTTATCACCTCTTTGAAGGACGTTTGTATGTGTGTTTGCGCATGCATGCATTCATGTGAGTGTCTGTGTGTGTAGAAGGCACTGGTGTGTGTGTGTGTGTGTGTGTGTGTGTGTGTGTGTGTGTGTGTGTAAAATGCGTACACACTTCCTTCAGTATTCCTGGAGATTAATCTACAAGTCATTCTCAAGAACCCTGGTGGTGCAGTGATTAGAATCCAGCATTGCAGGCTGACTCTGCCCACAGCCAGGAAGTTTGATCCTGACTGGCTGAAGGTTGACTCAGCCTTCCGTCCTTATGAGGTCGGTAAAATGAGGACCCAGATTGTTGGGGGCAAATAGATTGTAAAAGTGCTTAGAGAGGGCTGTAAAGCACTGTGAAGTGGTATATAAGTCTAAATGCTACTGCTTGGGAAGGAAGGAAGGAAGGAAGGAAGGAAGGAAGGAAGGAAGGAAGGAAGGAAGGAAGGAAGGAAGGAGAGAGAAAGAAAGAAAAGAGAGAAAGAGAAAGAAAGAAAGAAAGAAAAGAAAAAGAAAGAAAGGAAGGAAGGAAGGAAGAAAAGAAGGAAGGAAAGAGAGAGAGAGAGAAAGGAAAGAAAGAAAGAGAAAGAAAGAGAAAGAAAGAAGGAAAGAAAAAGGAAGAAAGAGAAAAAGAAAGAAAAGAAAGAAAGAAAGAAGACTAGAACGAGTGACGAGACTAGAACTCCTAGTGATTTGCTTTTTCCTTGGCCAAAAGAGGTCATAAAAACCAGGCATGACCCGTTCAATAACTGCCCTGCTTAGCGGCGGAAATTCTGATCCAAACTTTTGTTGTAAATCAAGGATTAGTCTGAGAGAGCAGAGAGCCAGTTTGGTCCAGGGATTAAGGCGCCAGGCTAGACAGCGGGAGGCTCTGAGTTCTAATCCTCCCTTCTTACCCTTGAAAGGGGACTTTGAGCCAGTCCCTCTCTCTCTCTCAGCCCGGCCCGCCTCACAGGGTTCTTGTGGTGGGGAAAAGACGAGGCGGAAGGTGCATTGGATACGGTTCGCGCCCCCCTGCGATATTTGTAAAGATATTAAAAGGCAGGATATCAACAGAGAATACAACCTGTCCCGTTTCCTCGCAGGGTGCGGTATATCCTGAACGTCACTCGTGAGATCGACAATTTCTTCCCGGGAGTTTTTGAATACCACAATATCCGAGTTTACGACGAAGAGGCGACGGATTTGCTGGCTTACTGGAACGACACCTACAAATTCATCTCCAAAGCCAAGTGGGTCCCTCTTTTCTCGCTTGCTTTTTCTCTGCGATTCGTTTGGCCGCCTTTCATTTATTTTGCGGGGTAGAATAATTCAAGAGCAGGGCGGGAGCCACTCCCAGAATTCCTGAGCCCTGTTGGCTGACTCGGGAATCCTGGGAGTTGAAGTCCACAGGTCGCTGAGCGGGTGTAAGTTGCCCGTCCCTATTAAACAGCCTTGGGGAATTTAAGCTGGATTAAATCAGCATTTAACTGTGATTAAGAGCGGAAGGAGGAGATTCTACCTGGTTAGGGAAATGGAGTTCTTCTGAGAACCTTGTCAGCTTAAAGGTGGTTAAGAGGAGCCGTTCCCAGTTAGTGCTCCAAGGCTGGGGGTGCTGATCCCCCGCTTTTGGGAGACACGGCTCGGCCATGGAAGCCTGTGTGTGCAATAAGCAGGGGTGTCCCTAGAACGTGGTCAAAATGGCAAAATAGATTGAGAGAGACAGACAACTTAAAGAGAGGGATACGATAGGTAGGTAGGTAGGTAGGTAGATAGAATAGAATAGAGAAAGAGAAAGAAAAAGATAGACTCTGACTGACTGACTGATGACTCCTTAATGAGAATCTTTGGGATAGATAGATATTGTAGATAGACAGACAGACAGAAACTATAGATATAGATAGATAATAGATACTGGATGGATGGATGGATGGATGGATGGATAGATAGATAGATAGATAGATAGATAGATAGATAGATAGATAGATAGATAGATAGATAGATAGAAATAGAGAAAGAAGAAATATAGACAGACAGACAGACAAACAAACAAATAGATGATAGATAGACAGACAGACAGACAGACAAATAGATAGATGATAGATAGATGATAGATAGATAGATATAGATAATAGAAATAGAGAAAGAGATATAGATAGACAGACAAATAGATGATAGATAGATAGATAGATAGACAGACAGCTAGATGATTAGATAGATAGATAGATAGATAGATAGATAGATAGATAGATAGATAGATGAAATAGAGAAAGAGATACAGATGATAGACAGATGGATAAACATAGATAGATACGCAGACAGACAGACACTGTAGATATAGATAGATAATTGATACTGTCTAGATATAGACAGACAGAGAGCTGATAGATAATGATGGACAAATTAAAGATAGCTGATAGATAAAAGATAAATAGATGACAGAGAGAGAGAGAGATGGATGGATGGATGGATGGATGGATGGATGGATGGATGGATGATAGGCAGATGGACAGACCGTTCAGCAGGTGGGTGGGTGGATGGACGGACAGAGGGCAACAGCCCGAGTTCCCCTGCTTGTGAACTTGAGGCGGTGCAAGGCCGGGGGGGGGCTGCCTTCTGGGGCTGGGGGTCCCTCTCCTCCTGCAACCGTCCTCCTGCCCGTCCCCCCCAGGAAGCACGGCTCCAAGTGCCTGGTCCACTGCAAGATGGGCGTCAGCCGCTCGGCCTCCACCGTCATCGCCTACGCCATGAAGGAGTACGGCTGGAACCTCGACCGGGCCTACGAGTACGTCAAGGAGCGCCGTAGCGTCACCAAGCCCAACCCCAGCTTCATGCGCCAGCTGGAGGAGTACCAGGGCATCCTCCTGGCCAGGTGGGTCCGGGCTATGACCCAGAGGGGGGCTTGGCACCACCCCCTGTTCGGCTTGCACAAGGGGTCCTCGTTTAGCGACCAAAGTCACAAAAAAGGGACTTGGGACCAATGTTCACCCTTGCCACCCTTGCAGCGTCCCCGTGGTCATATGATCAAAATTCAGACTCTTTGGCCACTGACTCATATTTATGACGGATAGTTGCAGCGTCCCTGTGGTCATGTGATCAAAATTCAGACTCTTTGGCCACTGACTCGTATTTATGACGGACAGTTGCAACGTCCCCATGGTCACGTGATCAAAATTCAGACTCTTTGGCCACTGACTCATATTTATGACGGATAGTTGCAGCGTCCCTGTGGTCACGTGATCAAAATTCAGACTCTTTGGCCACTGACTCGTATTTATGACGGACAGTTGCAGCGTCCCGAGTCAAGTGATCAAAATTCAGGCTCTTTGGCCACTGACTCGTATTTATGACGGACAGTTGCAGCGTCCCCGTGGTCACGTGATGAAAATTCAGATGCTTTGGCCACTGACTCGTATTTATGATGGGCAGTTGCAGCGTCCCGAGTCAAGTGATCAAAATTCAGGCTCTTTGGCCACTGACTCGTATTTATGACAGACAGTTGCAGCATCCCTGGGTCACGTGATCAAAAGACCTCCACGGTCCTTTCCCCCCCCCCATTCTGTTATCTGCCTGTTATTTCTCATGCAAAAGCCTCAAGCTTGTTTTTGTAACAAGAAACCACCATCTTGGGCAACCTGTTTTGTGTTTTCGGTGGAGGGACTCCCCACAGCCACGTGCCTGCCAGATGCCTTGGGTTCAAATGTCGGGAGGGGGGGGTTTCCGAAAGTGTGATTTGAAGCAACAACTGGTCAGAAACAGGACTGAAGGGAAGGAATTTGAATAAGAATCTTTATTGATTAGCCCGTGGGCCATATCGAAGTGCGGAGTCCCAAACACACGTTATACTAAAATGCAGTAAAAACAATTTAGAATGGAGTTAGTTAAAATATAATTTGGGATAAAATAGAAATAAAATACAATGTAAAATGAAATCGGGATAGAATACATTTTTAAAATGAAATTTTAACAGAACAGAACAGAATAGAATAGAATAGAATAGAATAGAATAGAATAGAGTAATGAATGGAATGGAATGGAATGGAACAGAACAGAACAAAATAATGAATGGAATAGAATAGAATAGAATAGAATAGAATAGAATAGAATAGAATAGAATAGAATAGAATAGGATAGGATAGTATAGAATATAGAATAGGATATAGAATATAGAATAGAATAGAATATAGAATAGGATATAGAATAGTATAGTATAGAATATAGAATAGAATAGAATATAGAATAGGATATAGAATAGGATAGTATAGAATATAGAATAGGATAGTATAGAATACAGAATAGAATACAATATAGAATAGGATAGTATAGAATATAGAATAGAATACAATATAGAATAGGATATAGAATAGTATAGTATAAAATATAGAATAGAATATAGAATAGGATATAGAATAGGAGAGTAGAGAATATAGAATAGAATAGAATAATGAATGGAATAGAATAATGAATGGAATGGAATAGAATAGAATAGAATAGAATAGCGAATAGAATAGGGAATAGAATAGAATAGAATATAGAATAGGATATAGAATAGGATAGTATAGAATATAGAATAGGATAGTATAGAATACAGAATAGAATACAATATAGAATAGGATAGTATAGAATATAGAATAGAATACAATATAGAATAGGATATAGAATAGTATAGTATAAAATATAGAATAGGATATAGAATAGGATATAGAATAGGAGAGTATAGAATATAGAATAGAATAGAATAATGAATGGAATAGAATAATGAATGGAATAGAATAGAATAGAATAGAATAGAATAGAATAGAATAGGGAATAGAATAGAATAGAATAGAATAGAATAGAATATAGAAGAGGATAGGATAGGAGCTGAAGGGATCTTGGAGCCAAAATCTCCCAAAGCCTCTGCACCCCCAGCAGCCTTGCCAGCCCAGCCGCGCGCGCGCGCGCGCGCGTGTGTGTGTGTGTGTGTGTGTGTGTGTGTGTGTGTGTCGGGGGAACAGGGCGAGGTGCCACTGGGCCCAGCTGACTTGACCGGCCCTTCCCCTTGGTCACAGCTGGTGGCCGCAGGATCACCTGGCCTGTTTTTGCCTCTTTCTGGAAAGCTGTGTTCCTGGGAACAGATGGTCCAGCGGGACCAGCAGCTGACCAGCGGCAGAACGAGTGACCGGGACGGAGTGTCCACTAAAGACACAAAAAACCCTCTGGGTCTCCAACGCCCCAAGCAACCTGATCTCTTGAGGCTTCGGATGTTGATCCTGACCGGATCGTGTCCGGCGTTGTTTTTCTCCTTCACCTCTCCTTGCTCAAGGCTCCACAAATCTTGCATAATGGTTTGTTTTTTTTTCCCCTCTGCTTTTCTCGCATAGGGATGTGCAGGTCATCCTCCACTTAACAACACAGTTCATTTAGTGACCGTTCCAAATCACAACGGCACGGGAAAAAAATGTCTGTGTCCCACTTAACGACTGTTGCAGCATCCAAATTCGGGCCCTCGGCAACAGGCTCAGATTTACGACGGTTTGCAGTGTCCCGAGGGGGGGGTTACGTGATCCCCTTTTGGCCGACTTCTGACATGCAAACTCAATGGGGGAAGCTGGACTCGCTTAACGACCGTATGACGAACTTAACAATTGCTCCGATTCGCTGAACAAACGGGGCAGGGAGAGTCATAAAGTGGGGCAAAAACTCATTTAACCGGCGTCTCATTTAGCAGCATAAATTCGGCGTAAGTCAAGCCCTCCTTGCATTTTTTTTTTCTCCCTCTGCTTCTCACTCAGCGACGTGCATGGAGCCCTTGACTTACGACGCCAACTGAGCCCCGGATTTCTGCCGCTAAGCGAAACGGTTGCTAAGCGCCCCATTTTGCGGCCTTTCCCATCACAGTCCTTAAATGAATCCCTGCCGTTGTTCAGTTAGCAACACGATTCTCACTCAGAATTTTGTTAGCTGGTCCAAATATAACAGAAGATAGAAAAGGAAAAAAATAGGAAAACAAGGGAGGGAAAAGGGAAAAAAGAGAGGAAGGGGGGTTGATTTCTGACTCCTTTTGGTGCACTAGTCCAGTGGTTCTCCACCTGTGGGTCGGGACCCCATTTGGGGTCGAACGACCCTTTCACAGGAGTCACCAAACAACGCAGTCCGCCATTTTTCCCCCCTTTTCCTTAGCTGTGCTACTCCCTTTTATTCTACTGGCTTTTGAAAGCCAATAGAATAGACTCTCTTGAATAGAGTCTCATTCTATTGGCTTTCCAAAGCCAATAGGAATTGTCCAGGCTGTCTCTGCCCTGCTGAACCCGCCAAAAGTCCCAGTCTGCAAACGGTGCTGCACCAGTTGAGTAGTCCTCGACTTACGACCGGTTGAGTAGTCCTCGACTTACGACCGGTTGGGGATCGCGGCATTAAAAAGGTTGAGAACCACTGCCCTAGAACAAGATGGTAGCATCAAAGCTCCATTTTTTACTTTTGCATAATAATATAAGCGAGCCGTTTTTGTCACAGCGAGCTTATCTAATCGGCCAAATCCCAAATCAAAGCTCCATTTTTTTTTCCCACCTCAAGCACAAAGTCCAGAAGCGGTTTCCAAGGGTTGGCAATACGATTTTTAAGTGGATCTGATTTTCCCACTGACCTAGCTCATTGATAAAAGGTGATCACATGACCTCAGGACAGTGCGACGGTCATAAATACAAGCCCGTTGCCCAGCATCGGAATTTAGATCACTTGACCATGGGGGGGGGGTGTTGCAAGGGTCGTTAAGTATGAATAACGGTCCTAAGTCCCTTTTTTGAGTGCCGTTGTAACTTCAAACGGTTCCTAAACAAATGGCACTAGAAGAGAATAGAGCTGGAAGGGACCTTGGAGGTCTTCTAGTCCAGCCCCCTGCTCAAGCAGGAGAACCTATACCATTTCAGACAGGTGACTGTCCAGTCTCTTCTTAAAAACCTCCACTGATGGAGTGCCCACAATTTCTGGTGGCAAGCTGTTCCACTGGTTAATTGTCCTCACTGTCGGGAAGTTTCTCCTTAATTCCAGGTTGCTTCTCTCTTTGTTCAATTTCCAACCGTTGTTTCTTCTCCTGCCCTCTGGTGCTTTGGAGAATAACGTGACCCCCTCCTCTTTGGGGTAGCCCCTCAAATACTGGAATACGGCTATCATGTCTCCCTTGTTCCTTCTTTTCTTTAGACTAGCTAAACCCAAGTCCCTCAACCGTTCTTTGTATGCTTTAGCCTCCAGGCCTTGGATCATCTTAGTTGCTCTTCTTTCCACTTTTTCCAAGGTCTCAACATCTTTTTTGTAGTAAGGTGACCAAAATTGGTTGCAGTATTCCAGGTGTGGTCTCCCGAGGGCAGGGGTAGGCAACCTTGGCACTTTTATAACTTGTGAACTTCAACTCCCAGAATTCCTGAGCCAGCCGTGCTGAGGGGAAAGGGAGAGGTTTCCAAGCTGAGTCATGCTGGCTCAGGAATTCTGGGAGTTGAAGTCCACGAGTCATGAAGGGCCCAAAATTTCCCTCATGCTGGCTCAGGAATTCTGGGAGTTGAAGTCCACCAGTCATAAAAGAGCCAAAGTTGCCTACCCCTGCCCTAGGGTTTTATAAAGCGGTACTACTATGTTTCCTTGAAAATAACACCGGGTCTTATTTTATTTTTATTTTTTTGCCTCCAAAAGAAGTACCAGGTCTTATTTTCGGGGTAGGCCTTGCCTCACCTCCGGCACCGACAGCCCCACCCAGCTGGTCCACTTCTTCTGGGGCCAAAGTTCTGCAGCTGCATTCGGGCCTACATTTTGCAGTCAGGCCTTTCCAGAAAGCCTAAGCAGCCGAGAATCGAGCTATGGATGCAATCCATAGCTCAGTGCTCGGCTGCTGAGTCTTGTAGAACCGAGCTACGGATTGAACCCATAGCTCGGTTCTTGGCTACAAAGGCCTTCCGGAAAGGCCCGTGACTGAGAAATGCAGACTTGGCTGCAGAAGAGGCCTCAGAAGAAGAAGTGGGCCAGTGAGGAGAGGCCTGGCTGCCAGATAAGCGTGTGCTGGGCGCATGGGGCAGCTCCACACACCCCCGGCCTTGCTTGATTTTTAGGGGTGTGCCTCGTCCCAAAACTAGGGCTTATTTTTGGGGTAGGGCTTATATTAGGCCCACTCCCCAAAATCAAGCTAGGGCTTAATGTTGGTATAGGCCAGGGGTCTTCAAATTTGGCCCTTTGATGACTTGTGGACTTCAACTCCCAGAATTCCTCAGCCAGGCACACTGGCTGAGGAATTCTGGGAGTTGAAGTCCACAAGCCAAGTTGGAAGACCCCTGTCTTAAAGCATCCTGGCTGAGGAATTCTGGGAGTTGAAGTCCACAAGTCATCAAAGGACCAAGCTTGAAGACCCCTGGTGTAGGCCTTACTTTTGGGGAAAACACAGCAATACTTCGCGTGATCTTGATGCTATGCCTCTGTTTATGCAACCCGGGACTGTATTCGCTTTTTTGGCTGCTGCTGCTGCTGCACATGGCTGGCTCACCTTGAAGTGATCATCCAATCGGATTCCAAGGTCCCCTTTCACAGTTGCTCTTTTTGAGCCAGATCTCGTCCAATCTGTACTAAATAATAATAATAATAAAAAGACCTCCCTTCATTTTCTCTCTCTCTCTCTCTCTTTCTCTCTCTCTCCACAGCAAGCAACGCCACAACAAGCTCTGGCGCTCGCACTCCGAGAGCGACATCTCGGACCACCACGAGCCTATCGGCAAGTCGGGGATGGAGGTCAGCAAAAAAGAAATTACCACCTCGGCCGACCGGATCTCCGAGAACAGGTCTTCCAGCAGCCTCGTGGCGGTGCCCGTGGGGATCGGCGCCAGCCCACACGGACCCTTGCTGTGCCATTTGGGCTCCGGCCCTTTGCCGAATCTTCCAGGCAAGGAGAGGGTGATCCAGCTGGAAATTGCGCCCCGAGACATCGACGCCGAGCAAATGGAGGACCAGCTGAATTTGAACAACCTCAACGGGTGCCCTACCGGATGCTGTGTGGGCGACGCCGAGTCGCCCCTAGACAACTGCAATCCCTCCGAGGCCTTACTGGAGCAAGGGGGTGCCTTGACATCGGCCGGCGGCTTTCCGGACTTGGCGGTGGACGAGTTAGAGAACGACGCCCTCAAGCCGGGAGACGGGAACGTCCACCTGATGCCCATGGAGGTGTTGGAGTCCTGCTTGCGAGACACGCCCAGCCCGCCCGGCAACCTTTCTCAGCCGGACGAAGAAGAGGAGGAGGAGGAAGAGGAAGAAGAAGAAGAGGAGGAAGCTACAGCGGGAGATTTTGGCACGGATCGGATTGACTTCTTCAGCGCGTTGGAGAAGTTTGTGGAGCTGTCGCAGGAGAAGAGGCCGCGGGCCACGTCCAGAGCGGAAGATCTGGGCAACGGGCGAAACGGGAATCCCCGGGTCTCCGGCTTGGAGCTGCTGCCTTGCGATCCTGCCGAGCAGGCCCGGCGAAGCGCCTCGGCGGGCAGCTCCCCGCAGGTCTCGGAGGGGTCGTCTCTGGAGGAGGAGCAGCTGAAGGTATCCCAGGAGGAGGGGAGGAGGTCTGGGTGATCCCCATCGCTCCCAGCACTTTCCAAGCCTGGCCTCTTTTAAGACTCGTGGACTTCGGCTCCCAGAATTCCCCAGCCAGCCATGATGACGATGGCTAGGGAATCCTGGGAGTGAAAGTCCACCCGTCTGAAAGAACGTGGGTTGGAGAATTCTGGGTGCTGAAGTCCACAAGTTGACTGGGCAATTCTGGGAGTTGAAATCCACAGGTCTTAGAATTGGCTGGGGAATTCTGGGAAGTGGACGTCCACAAGTCTTAAAGCTGCTAGGGAATTCTGGGAGTGGAAGTCCACAAGTGGAGCCACCTGCCTCCAGAAGCGGTGAAGGCGCCAACACTGGAGGTTTTTAAGAAGAGACTGGACAGCCCTTTGTCTGAAATATTATAGGGTTTCCTGCCTGAGCAGGGGGTTGGACTAGATGACCTCCAAGGTCCCTTCCAACTTTATTATTATTATAAATAATTACCTGTACGCAACAACACTGGAAGTCTTTAAGAAGAGACTGGACAACCCATTTGTCTGGAATGGTATATGGTCTCCTGCCTGAGCAGGGGGCTGGACTAGAAGACCTCCAAGGTCCCTTCCAACTTTATCATCATCATCATCATCAGTAGTAGTAGTAGTAGTAATAGTAGTAGTAATAGTAGTAGTCTTAAAGCTGTCGGGAATTGTGGAAGTCCACAAGTCTGGGGAATTCTGGGAGTGAAGTCCACAAGTCCTAAAGTCGCCAAATTTGGAGACCCCTCTTTTAAAGTGGGATATCCTCCCCTGGAGGTGAGGTGGACCCTCCTTCTCCTGGCCTTCCAGAAAGGTGTAAAACCAGGGCTCTTCCACCTTGCATGGGGAGCCCAGCAATGTTTACCAGTGTTTAATCATCCTTGCCTCGTTTTAAAACTTTAATCTTTATGGTTTATATTTATATATGTTTTGATATTTTATTGTTTTTATTGTACACCAGCCACCCAGAGTCCCTATCATAGGAAAATGGGTGGTTCAAAAATTAGATAAATAGATAGGTGGGTGGCTGAGTAGATGGACTGATGGATGGAGAGAGAAGTGAGGAGATGGATGGATGGATGGATGGATGGATAGATAGATAGATAGATAGATAGATAGATAGATAGATAGATAGATAGATAGATAGATAGATAGATAGATAGATAGATAGGGGAATGGATGGATTGATGGAGACAGATATGATTGATAGAGAGAGGGTATGGCTGGATGGATAGATGGATGGATAGGCAGACAGACAGACAGATAGATAGATAGATAGATAGATAGATAGATAGATAGATAGAAGGGAATGGATGGATAGATGGATTGATGGAGACAGATATGATTGATAGAGAGGGGGGATGGATGGATAGAGAGGATGGACAGACGGACAGACAGACAGACAGACAGACAGACAGACAGACAGACAGACAGATAGATAGATAGATAGATAGATAGATAGATAGATAGATAGAAGGGGGAATGGATGGACAGATAGATTGATGGAGACAGATATGATTGATAGAGAGGGGGGATGGATGGATAGAGAGGATGGACAGACGGACAGACAGACAGACAGACAGACAGACAGACAGACAGACAGACAGACAGACAGACAGACAGACAGACAGATAGATAGATAGATAGATAGATAGATAGATAGATAGATAGATAGAAGGGGGAATGGATGGACAGATAGATTGATGGAGACAGATATGATTGATAGAGAGGGGGGATGGATGGATGGATGGATAGAGAGGATGGATAAATGGATGGACAGACGGACAGTCAGACAGACAGACAGACAGATAGAAGGGGGAATGGATGGATGGATGGAGACAGATATGATTGATAGAGAGGGGGGATGGATGGATGGATGGATAGATAGAGAGGATGGATGGACGGACGGACAGACAGATAGATGGAGAATGAATGGATGGAGAGAGAATGGGAATTAACCCTGAGTGAAGTACCAACCCTTCCCCTTTTATGCCAGGGGGCACCAGCACCAGCTTCCCCTCTTCCTCCTGCTGCTTGGCATCTTCCCAAATCGCAACGGGACCCCAGAATAACAGCTCGGTGGGTGCCTTTCCCGACCACCATCACCACCCCCAGGATTTGGGGAGGAGGGCGTGGAGAGGTCGTGGTGGCACCCAAACTGTCTTCTCCAGGGAGGGCCAGGCAGCTGCTCCAGTTCCCTTGGCTGCTGGCGCCCTCTGCTGGTCAAGGAGTAGCCGCAGAGCCAAACGGCAGGCTTGCTCCATCCTCCTGTGTGTGTGTGTGTGCAACCCCATCCCCGGAGCCCCCTCCCTCCCTCCTCGCCAGATGAAGACCTCCGCCACATTTGCAACCCAGGAAGGAAAAGAGTCTTGGTCATACTGATTGTACCTTGCCGTTGTTGATCGGATTACAGATTGTCCTCGACTTACGACTGCTCACTTAGCGACGGTTTAAAGTTGTGATGATCCAAATTTGAAGTTAATCTTCCTTCCCCCCCCCCCCCCCGGTGGTCCCATGACTGCATTTTAGGTGCTCAACATTTACAGGGTAACGTGGCGAAGTGGCCAAATTTAACTAGGGTTTGCCCTAAACTGGCATTTACTTCCAGTTCTTGACGAAACTGCAGTGTCTGCTTAATGACTACAGATTCGCTTAACAACCGAAGGGATTCGCTTAACAGCCGTCACAAAAAATAGAAAAGAAAGGTCAGCCCAATCCTGACTTTGTACACTGATCGTAGGTAGAAAGTCCATTGTGGCTTTGAAAAGTCGAAATTCAGAATTACAGGCACTCCTCCAGTTATGACCACAGACGGGCTCCAAATTTCTGCCGCTAAGCGAGACATTTGTCAAGGGAGTTTGGCCCAATTTTGCCACCTTTTCTTGCCACCGTCGCTAGGCAGTTGTGAAGTTAGTCCCATAGTCATTAAGTGAATCGGCCTTTCCCCGTTTGCTTTGCTTGTCGGAAGGTCACAGAACGGGATCAAACTGACCCCGGGACATGGCGACCGTCGTAAATGTGAACCAGTTTCCAAGCATCTGAATTTTGATCATGTGTCCATGGGGATCGTGCAATGGTCGTAAGTGTGAAAAACAGTCGTACATGTGAGAATCAGTCGTAAGTGTGAAAAAAGGTCATAAGTCACTTTTTTCAGTGCCGTTGTAACTGGTCGCTAAATGAACTGTTGTAAGTCGAGGACAGCCTGTATGTAATGTGGCCTGATTTGATGTTGAAGCCTTTGGATTGTCACCAAATTAAGGTTCTTTTTTCTGCTTTCTTTCTTCTTTTTTTCAGCTCTCGGAACCTGAGCCTCCCATGGGCCTGAGCCGGTCCCATTCCCCTGTCATCTCAGTCAAAGGGATCGTCACTGAGATCGAGTCGATCCATCAGGGAGGATCGCAGGGACCAGCCAAGGCAGAGACCACCAACAATCCACTCCCAACGCCCAAGAGGACCCTCCTCCACGAGACGCCAGCTGAGGACAGCAAGCACGGGAAGGCCGAGGAGGCAGGGGACACGGCCGGACCTGTCCCAAAAGAAGCTGCTCGGGAGCCGTTGAAACCGGATCCAGATGGGTCTTCGTTGCCCCCAATGCTTGCTTCTAAGCCAGACGTGGAAGGAAGGGGCTTGGCTGAAGACCCCGCAGATGCCCGAGTCCTCCCCGGGCCCAAATGGTGTCCGGGTTCCGTCCGACGGGCCACTCTGGAGTTTGAAGAGCGTCTACGGCAAGAGCAGCAAGATTTGCAGCACACTCCCCCTATCGCCCTCTTCCCCGTCCGGAAGAATTCCAGGAACGAGTCCCCCGCCTCCGATCCAAGTGCCAAGGGCAAGAACGAGGATCCACCTCACGAGCCGGCCGAGCTCCCGAAGAGTAACGAGGTCTTGAGGACGGGCAGCAGCTGCGAGACCATGACTGTCACTGAACCGCCGTCGGAAGTGTCTCCTCCACCGGAAGTCCCTGCGGAGATATCGGGCGTAGCTCACGAGCACCGGATGGTGCTTTGGATGGAGAGTGACGAGAGTCCTCCTCTGCTCAGCCCCCTCCCCAAGAGAATCGAGATCATCGAATACACACCTGCTTTGCCTGGCACGGAGGGGGCCGAGAAGGGGGGCACCGCCCGGACCCCAGAGAAAACCCTGGATGAAAACTGCAACGCCACTTTCGGCTCGGAGACGCCTAGATGCAGCCCGGATTCGTCTGGGACTCCAGAACAGGAGAGCGGCCCCTTCAACAAAGCCCCCTTCTCTTGGGGGAGCCCGAAGGAGACGGACAAGGAGGCGGGGAAAACGGCACCGTCTAACCTGGCAGCCCCCTCCTCTCCTGCCAACCGAGCGAGGTGTTCCCCTCCACCTTCTTCATGTGGCCAGCCCCGTCTCGGCCTGGAGGGGGTCACTCAGGACAGTACAAGCACCGAACCCGAGCCTGCTCCCTCGGGGGGCTATGCTGGAAATGGCCACTTCTCCCTGGAGGAGAGGGGAAGGGGTTTCTTGCCCTGGACACACTGGACCCCCGATCCGGGAAAAAACCCTCCGGACGTCTGCGCAGCCCCACCTCTCCGCTGCTCTCTCCCTCGCCGTTCTAGCTGCGACGCTTGCGCCAAAGACAACGGCCAGGGGACAGGCCTGGTCAAGCAGCTGGCGAAAGAACTGGAATGCCGCCTGCGGCAAGCTGGGCTGACCACGCCGTCCCAAATGAAGCGCTCGGCCTCTTTGGCCAAATTGGACAGTCTGGGCTCGCTGAAGGACGACTTGCCCCGTGGCTGCTGCCTGTCCATCGGCGCCAGACCGGTCTCGCCCGAATCGCTCCGGGTCCCCATGCCGGATCCGGTCATCTCCTTGGCCCTCCTGTCTCCCGAGCCCACGAGGCATTTGGTAGAACCGGTCAAGCTGTGGGAAAGCCTGGCCCTGAGTCGGCCGGTGGAAAGACCCCTGGCTCAATTTGCCCAAGACTTCCCCCCGGCCTGTGGGCCCCCCGAAGGAACGTGGACTTGGGGCCACAGCCCGGCCCAGCCGGCCGGCCTCGCTCGAATCCCCCCCACCAGAACTCGACTGCCCAGGAAATTAAAAAAATCCGAGCGGAAACGAACCACCAACCCCGTCTACAATACGATGTGATCTCTGCCTCGGTTTCCCCTCCTTCCTCTCCCCCCCCTTCCTCCTCCCCCCCCCTTCCAACTTTTCACAATCCCTCGGTTGTGTGTGTTCTTCAAATTGGCGCAGATGTAATATATAACGAAACATGCACTTTATTAGTTAGGTTGTTTTTTATATATATATATATATATATATATATATATATATATATTATATGTTCTTTTATTTGTACGGTTCCTCCTTTTTTTTTTTGCATGTACATTTTCTGAAGCGGCTAAAATTCAAGGTTTTACAAAAAAAAAAATTACTCCCCATCCGTGCGAGGGACTGCAGGAGCATCCCGTGCTGTTTGTCGTGTTGTGTTTTATTTCGTTTTGTTTTTCATGGGATGTTTTTTTTTTCTTCCTACCTATGAAAAGATTTTTACCTCTTAATTTTTTTTTCCCCAGCTTTGTCTTAAAAGAACACCCTTTCTTTTGCAAAAAACGAAGAGGGGGGGGGGAAGAGGCCGTGGGTTTTATTTTCCCACCGTCATAGTCCAGCTGTTGCCAGAGAGTAGGGTTTGGGGTGTGCAAAGCCCCCGCTCTGCTAATTAGGGGTGGGGGCCTGACAGGAGCCCCTTAAGTTCCACCTTGTCCTCCTCGGGTTGAACCCCTGGATCCAAACATTTGTGAAGTTTATTTTCCTTGCTGCTCGCCTCCAAAAACGTCCAGGAGAAAGCCACAATATTGTAGCCCACGCACATCAGGACCACGTCGCGCCCGTAATGCCACTGATGTCCACCATGCCACCTCTTGTGGACCCCCCCCCCAAAGGGCCATCCTGATGCATTTGAGTAGGGGGTGTCCGCTGTCTCCGATCTTCTCCCTCCTCCCACAGGAAGCCCTTCCCAGACCTGGTGCCCCCTTCCCTCAAAAACATTTGCCCACCTCTGCAGCTTCCGCCTCTTTCCCCAAGTGTGCCCACCCACCCACCCACCCAAGGCCTCTACAACACAGCGGGCAACCGGTAGCTTTGCCCACCGTGTTAAGGGCAGGGAACGCGTCGCGTGCCTGTGCGGGGGCTTGCAAGTGTGCCCCTCTTTAACTGCCCTTGCTGAAAACAGACCCTTTTTAGCCGCAAAAAAAAGAGATTTAAAATTTTGTGGGTTTGTTTTTTTAAAAATATATATATATAATTTATTTTCCGAAAGGGGTGTTCTTTTAAGGCAGGCATTGGGGGAAAAAAAAGGGTCCGATTGTCCGGTTACTTGAATAAAACGGTGGGCCTTCTCCAAACTTGCTGGCTATCTCTTGTTTCCTTTTCTCTCCACTGTGCAAAGCTGTGGGGGTGAGGGGGCTCGTGGGGAGGAGGGGGGGTCTCCTTGCCTTTCCCTTCCCCGCTCCCATCAAGCACTTCGATTAGACTCCAGAAATGAATTAAGAGTCGGGGGGCCACCCCCCTTGGTCCTGTTCCTCTTCTCCCACCTTCATGTCACCAAAACAGGAGGGGGGAAAAATTGCGCGTGTTTTGCGTCTTTGTGTTTCTGTACATAATAGGACTTATTATAAAGGGGTGGGGAGGGGGATTTTTGTCCTGCCCCCCTCTCTTTGTCCTGACATCTCTTCTGTAAACTGGAAAATCCATTTTTCTCTCCCCCCCCCCCATTTAACCGAATTATTTGCACTTCTCTTCAGAATTAGGCCCAAACTGTTTGAACGGTTACCCATTGTTTTCTTTGTTTGTTTGTTATTAAAAAAAACAACAAATATTTGAAAAGTAAGGGAGGGGGGTTATTTTGCCAGCGGGTGCCAAAACGCATGCAAGTTGTGTGTTGCTGTTTTGTTTGTGTTGTTTTTTTAATTTCCTTTTTTTTTTTTTTTTGCCTTCGGACCGACCCGTTGCATTCACCTGTCTCGTGTGTCGGTTCTCTCCGGTGTCCTTCGTGGACAGGTGTGCGTGGTGCGCTGATCCTTCCCTTCCTTTTTCCTCTTTTTTCTGGAAATCAGGGTTTTCCACACAAACGGCTGTCGTGTAACACATCCCGGTGGCGCGGAATGTATTATTAATGCACTAAAATATTCCTTCCTCTTCACTGCCACCCGAACAAGAACCGTGTCTGGATTTATTTATTTTTATTTTACAAACTTGAGCAAGCCAGGAGTGTTCTCGGCTCTGTCCTTTCATTTTTTATTTTTATTTTTTTTAAAAAAGTCGTTTATTTCTTAGAAGGCTAAGAAACTCCTTCCGGAAAAATCCGTCACGTCTTTTTGATGCTCTTCCTGTGGACTCTGTAGCTCTCCAGACCGGTTCGGGACCAAAAACTTGAGGTCCGCAAAGAGATTTAGAGGAGCATCCGGTGGATTGCACCCCAAAACTTTCCGGGAAATGGGATGCTCAGCTCCTCTCCTCTTGGGACTTATGATAGGTTTAAGCAGGGCACTTGAACTGCACCATCGACTTCCCAGCAAAAGAGGGTGCCCACCGGGGGGAGCGTTTGAGGGGGAGTCCAGTCCCCCTTCTCATAAAGGTCTCCGAGTCTTAACTTGAATGTTGTGCAAATCGTTGGAGCTCAGTTTGGCCAGGTGGGCTTTTGGGGGGTGGTGTAGAGTTAATTTTGGAGGAAGTACCCCCTCTTTTCCCCATCCCCAAGCCCAGCTAGATGCCTACACCCCTTAACTGTGAGGAAGGGGGATTCTCTGTGGCCGGAATGGGACAACTCACCACGACCACCTTGCCACGGGACAATTTGCTGTCGCCCACTCACGACAATTCCACACGGGGTAACTCAGCGCGATAAATGTTATCCGCCACCGTTTCTTGGACATTACATCGAGAAAAATAGAAATAAAAACCATAGACAAGAAACGGCGGCAGGTAACATTTATTGCGTTGAGTTATCCCGCACAGAATGGTCCCGGAGCCAGTTGGCGACAACGAGACCCTTCTGTGGCCATTACCAGGCCAGATGACCACCAAGATTGGAGGGCTTTAAATGAGCCCCCCCCCACATCACGATCCATCATCCTTGTTGCTCCTGAGTGGGTCAAAAAAATCCAGCGTTTCCTGAAGTAATTCTTCTCCGACCCAGAAATTAGATGGTTGTGCTGGGGACTTTTCCGGGCTGCTTAAGAACTAAAAATTTTGATTTTTTTTTTCTGCTTTATTTTTTCCTCAAAGAAGGAAGGCATTGATTGGACCTTGGGGGGGGGTGGATCCAGCCAGCTCCCAGTTTTTTCTCCCTACCCCCCCCCCATGCCAAAAGAGGGAACCCCCTTCCCGTGTCTGGAATCTCTCCTTATCAAAAAAATTTTGTTTTGATTTTATGTTCTCGGCGGCCTTTTTCTTCCTTGCAGGCGGCGAATTTAAAAATTGCAACCATCCAGGGGAGTATTTTACCCAAGAATGAGAAATGGTGGGTCTGTATTTGGGGGGGGGCAGGAGGGCAGGGCCCCCCCAAACTATTCGCCTCCATTTCTTAAAAGTCATCAGGGTCTCTTCGGGAAGCGAAACGCGTACCTTGCAGCTCATTGGAGGGGGGGGTGTCTCTCTTTTGGGAAGGGGAGCATCTCTGTTCATCCAGTTGCACTCCAGACTGGGCTAATTCCAGGCACCCAATATCTGCAGCCTTGGGGTGGGGGCTCCCCTTTTCTCACAATCAAAACTAAGAGGGCTGGAAAAGCTTTGCCAGCTCAGCTTAATTTATGTCGATGGATGAAAACTCAGCGCTGATCGAAAGCTTTGCTGTGTTTTTTTTTTTTTTTAAGGGGGGTATTTTTTCCCTCCTTCTGGACTTCTGTCCTGGCTCCTCTTTCTGCATTCAGGAGTCAGAGGTATCCAGATTTTTTTTTTTGGAGAGGGGGTCTCCTCCAGCAGTCCCCATTTCCTTCCCCACCCCCCAAAAAACCCCTTCATTTTCACTGTACTGTCAACCTTGTAGAGCAGTGTTTCTCAATTTTGACCATTTTAAGGCATGTGGACTTCAACTCCCAGAATTCCACAGCCAGCATTGCTGGCTGTGGAATTCTGGGAGTTGAGTCCACATGCCTTAAAATGGTCAAGGTTGAGAAACACTCTTCTAGGGGCGAATGGATGCTTGCGGGACCCCCGGCAGGCGAGCAATGATGGTACATCTCTGCTGAAAGCACGAATGGTGATAACTTGACGAGCACAGCAGTGCTTCTCAACTTTGGTCCCAGAATTCCCAGAATCCCCCAGCCAGCCGTTCTGGCTGGGGGATTCTGGGAGTTGAAGTCCACGCCTCGTAAAGGTTGAGAAACACTTGTTATGCGGCGTTGCCAGCTGTGTTACCACAGCCCCGTTGTGTGTCCCCCCCCCCATAACAGCTGAGCATCCTCAGCCTTTCAACACCACCCAAGAGATGGGGGGCTTTGCCGTCCCCCCCCCAAATGGGGTCCTTGGCCTAGCGATGAATTTGGTCTGAAATTGCAAGCCTGGGCCCATCTTCCCCACGATCCTCGCAGCCACTCCAGCCCCTGTCCAGACCAAAAAGACCCCCTTCCACGGGCAGGCTACCACCACCACCAGATGTTTTGGGGGATTGGGGGGGTCTTTCACATCTGGGCTATTTGCGTAGGGAGAATTAATTTTGCAAAGGCTCCAGTGAAGAACCCATCTATCTTTTGGAATTGGGTGGGAGGGATGGGGGGGAGCAAGCTGTAGTCTGTCGGGGTGTCTTCTCCAAACGGGGTTTTGCATTTTGTGGGGGTGAGCAGAAGGGGCGCATCCTGGCCGTTGTAAAATTGGGGGTCTCTGTCTGCAAGGTGGGGCGGGGCGGGGGTCTCTCTCCAGCAACTCCAGGACAAGGAATGGGGGGAGGGAAACCACGTTCGTTTCCCTTCTTCCCCTTTCAACTTGTCTCTCCCCCCCCCCCCCATCCTCTGGGCTCCCTGTCTCTCCCAGGGGCTTCTAAGATAGACTGCTTGGACACAAGGATGCTCTGCTGTTTTTAAATGTGAACTCCCACCCACGACGGGGGCTGACTCGATGTTCTTGTTACTGAATAAATTTTTATTTTGACAACCAGACGACTCTTTTTTTTTTAAATTGAGAATTTTTAAAGTTTTACAATAAAATACTCCCCCCCTCCCACCCCCCATCACCCTCCCCCCTCCTTCCCAGAGCTGTATACAGGGTTAAAAACAACAAAAAACATACAACTTAAATGCACATCAAACAATTATACATACATCCAAAAAACGAAATTTTAAATACTTTAAATACTTTAACTCCAGTACATGAAAGCAAAGATTCTAACCATTACCCTTAAACATAGATTATTCAAAAGCTAAATAATACTTTCTAATCTCATATTTATTCTGTATAAAATTCACCCATCTTTTCCACACCAAAATATATTTCTCTTGCGATTGATCTTTCAGATAAGCCGAAATTTTTGCCATTTCAGATAAATAAGAAACTTTAAGAAACCATTCTTCTAAAGTAGGCAAAGAGTCCTTCCAATATTGCCCAATCAGCAACCTTGCCGCTGTAATTAAATTCAACATTAGAATAATTTCTTTATCACCACAATCAACAATAATACCTAACAAAAACAATTGTGGTGTAAATTTTATCCTTCTATTAAAAATCTTCTGAATGTTCCACCAAATCTTAATCCAAAAAGCCTTTATATTTCTACATGACCACCAAATATGATAGTACGTTGCAGACGACTCTTGTGGTTAGTGGAGCGGGGAATCGGGGCCGAAGAGACGGGCCTCGGAGGCCTCCCGAACCCCAAATCTTCCCGACTTGGATTTTGCAGGGGGTCCTCAACTTATGACCATTTGCTTAGTGACTGAAGTCGCAACAAAAAAAAATGACAGGACCATTTTTCATACTTAATGACTGTTGCAGCACACACACCCCCAGTTTACTATCTGTGATCAAAATTCGGACCCCGACTGCCGGCTCACATTTATGACGGTCACAGCGACCCGGGATCGTGGGAGTTCCCCCCCTTTGCGATCTTCTGACCAGCAAAGTTGATGGGGAAGCTGGACTCACTTAACAACCCTGTGACTCACTTAACAACGGTGGCGATTCCCTTTGCAATGGTGGCAAAAAAGGTCGTAAAGTGGGACAAAGTGGACGTTAACAATTGTCTTGCTTGGACTCGATTGTAGTCGTATGTCGAGGACTCACCCGTACGTTGGAGTCAGTTTTGGACTCAATTGTGGTCGTAAGTCAAGGACTCACCCGTACGTTGGAGTCCGTT